AGCGATCCTCAGACGAGCTTCCCATGACAATGCAGAACTACCATCTGAAGTATGGAGATGGTCCGAAAGAGCTCCGTTTGAGATAAATTCATAGATCAATAAGGGCACTTCGGTCTCCAAGCAGCATCCAAAAAGCTTTACCACGTTTCTATGATTAATTTGAGAAAGAATTGCAACTTCATTGACGAATTGATCTATCTCGCTCTTCTTCACAATCTTTGACTTTTTTATAGCGACTACGCGTTGATCCGACAGAATCCCTTTGTAAACTGTTCCATGTCCTCCACGACCGAGCACTCGAGTTTCATCAAAATTATTCGTTGCCTTTTCTATCTCTTCCAGAGGAAATATCTTTGTTCTATCAGCAACATCTTCACGGGAAGAGATGAGTTGTTGTAGCAGTAAACCATGATTCTGACGGAAGTGTTTTTCTCTTATTCTCTTTTGTTTTCTTCTCTTCCATTTCGTCCTCAGGATGATCAAACTCGTACTCAATAGCAATAGGCCCACGCCATTACTTACGCCGATGATGACACCTGTAAATACCAACCATTGAGTTTTCTATCCTCACATTGCAGCCTGTGTACATTAATTTTGGTGCATGTTTTGGTTCTTTATTTATATTTGCTCAATCATATGTATATATACTTTGATTTATATCAGACGTATTAATATTCCTATTGCATCTTTATAAACCAATAAGTTTGGAGGACTTACCTAACAGAACAGTCTGTTTTTTGTGGGGGATGCATGCTTGTTTAGGATCACCAGTTGTCCCTCGTGGACATGTGCAGGTGTAACTGCCGATCGTGTTCTTACAAACCCCATTGCAGACGTATTTGTCGGGGAATTTACACTCATCGATATCTGACAAATCATCAAAAAGAAAAATGGTAGCTATATCTCACGTTTACATAATTTATTTTTTCGGAGGTGCACACTGACGATTAAATATTAGTTTTTGACGTCAATTAGCATTTAAGAAAGAGGTAAAGGAATCAGGTACCTGTGCATCCATTAGGAACGTATGGATTTCCTTCATAACCTTTGGAGCAATTGCATGCTCGTCTAGGATCGCCAGTTGTCCCTGGTGGACATGTGCAGCTGTAACTGCCGATCGTGTTAGTACAAGTTCCATAGCAAACATATTTTTGGGGAAAGCTACACTCATCAATATCTGACAAATCATCAAAAAGAAAGTTAGTAGCTATATCTCACGTTAAACTCAGAACTCGATCTTTTAAATGATAATTACCATGCACACAGTTTACATAATTTCTTTTTCTGAGCTGCACACTGACGATTAAATATTAGCTTTTGTGATCAAATGACAAAATTATTTTTGCGATGAAATGCTACTCTTTGGTAATTAACGTTACTGTTTATAGAAGGAAAAATATTGTAAGCATTTCCAGAGAAATTTCTCCCCGTAGAAGAACAAGGAGTGTAAATTTGATAAGTTCTGGATGGTAAAATTGTCCTATAAAAAAAAAATATAGGGAGTCATGTACTAAGTTGGCACCATCTTAAACGTAATAAATTCGATTTCGTTATTCAGATATGCAGTTAAGGTAGCTGAAGATATCGGTATGCACAATTCTCGAGAAGGATTCTTAAGGAATCATGCAAATAAATATCAGGCACGTATCAGTGCATAAATGAGAAACAAGGAAAACTTTTGAATGGATAATTGGACAAATAAGATAAAAAACGAAGTCTCTGAATGTGAAAGTATTCAGCGTCTATTTCGTGGCTAGCGTTTTTTTTTTTTTGCTTTTAACATTGTGTAGATTTTAAATACATGACTAATTGTCAACATTTAAGAGAGAGGTAAAGGAATCAATTACCTGTACATCCATTACGTAGGTATGGATTTCCTTCGTAACCTTTGGAGCAATTGCAACGGTACCCCCAAAAATCTTGACCATCGCTTGTTGTGGTGTTAATGTCAAAACATGAGCTGTGTTCATCGACACATGCAAACATGGTCCTATTGCTTTGAGCATCCTTACAACGTTGATCCTCAATGACCCAACTAACAATGGGTGGCTCGTCAAAGTAGATGAAAAGTCTCGTTTCAAAGGTAAAGCTGTAGGGCTCAGTGTGTTCAGACTCAATTTCTAATTGCCCTTTCTCCAACGATATACTGCGCACTATGAAATACTCTTGGAAGAGGAGAGTGGGAGGACTTGATGTGTGGTTGCACGTTAGAGCAAATGCCCGATCTCTGTAACACCCTTTCTTTAGCCCGAATGGAAAAGGGATGTCAACACTCCCACATTTTGTTGGACAGCCCTTCACCGGATGTAGAGTAAAATTTGTTTCTGTTGATATGATGAAGCAGGTCAGCAGCAGAAGTTGTCGTAAGCTTACCGTGTTTTTGGTTATCGGATGGACAAAAGGAGCTGTAAGATTGACTTATATCTAAAAAATCAAAATTGTAAGTCAAGCATTGAGAATAAGTGAGTAGCGATCATAAAATCCCGAAGGCGTAGGATTGTAGATACGGCGACCAAACTTTCTCCTGTGTTATTGTGGAGATGGATAAGACAAATGGACTTGGGATCTAATGTATGTTGTACCATTTAATTATCTAATGAACATGGGATTCAAGCCATTACATGACTTATGACTCTTCTACTATGTAACAATCTTATCTAATAGTGAGATGGATGTCTGCACAAGTAAACATCCCTTTTACCAGTTTGATTGTAAAAAAAAAGAAACTATTATCAAGCATAACAGAGAACCACGAAGAATATTTAAACTTATCATGCGTGTACCATATTTAATCACTTCTACTGCAGATCATGCTTATCTAATCGAGCTCACACAAAGAGAGATAAGAAGGAATATTACCTTGACAGCCATTTGATAGGTATGGATTGCCTTCATGATTAAAAGAGCATCGACAGAAGTACCCAAAATTATAATCAGTGTCGTTATAATAATTAATGACATCATAACAGTCGCTATTGGGAC